AGTTGAAGTATACCACCTACTTAAGTATAACTAACTAAGTTAAATAACATTATTATACATTGACTTCTGTGTATATTATCACTGTAATTCTTACCCCAGCTCTGTATATAATTTCTCCACTGCAATATAATATTGTGTTAGTAGTGATATTCCTGAGACTACTTAGTACATTTGTGGTTTTCTGGCTAATTGAGGGATACCTTAGGCAGAAGAAGCAGGGAAGATTGTTCTACTTTGACTTCTAGAAGCTCTTTGCGTAATTTATAAACCTTCTTGCAGCATAGTAACCGGGAGACTGTGGGTTCCAGTCCTGCCCTAGGCGTGAAAGGCTTCTGGGTGACTTCGGACCAGCCCCTCCCCCCTCTCTCTCTCAGCTCAACACACCACACCACACAGGGTTGTTGTTGTGGGGAAAACAGGAGGAGGAAGGAGTATTAGATATGTTCTCCACCTTGAATTGTTTATTTAAAAAATAATATCAATCAATCAGTTAATTAATATGGGGAGCTCATACAGTAGAACAAGCTCTCTGCTATGAACAGGCAACCACCAGGGCATGGAAGCTGATGGAGCTCAGAGCTGGAAATGTGAATGTGAGGTCAGGATGAAGAAAGATGATGCTTCCTAAAGGAAAATGCTGCTCAACAACTGGAACAAATTACTGGGAAGGTAGTTTAGTGAAAAGGGTAGATGACCACCTGTCAGGGATGTTGAAGTATTAGCTTCCTGCACAGGGGTGCGGTGAGCTCTAAAGTCCTTACCAACCCTTGCGTTGTATGATTCCTTTTCATTCATAGCTTACTAATTATGCAGGGAGTGGACGCCTGAATAAGGTGTATGCAAACTAGATGAACTGGTACAATGTGGTTAAGTACTTAACAAAGAAGTAATTACCACATTTTGTAATAATACTTGAGAATCTGATCTGGTCCTACATGTGGAGGAATAACTGACATCCTGCACCCACTGCCAAGAAGAAGGCCTGTATTGGTCAAAGCCCATGTTCTCTACTAATCCTGGATTTGTGTTCATTTACAAAAACACTACTCACATGTGCAAGATATGAATCCCCACAGGAATGTATAAACAGGACACTGCAGTATATTAAATGCATACATGAAAGGTAGATTACAATTGACAATTTGTTCATATTTCATCCCAGACATTGTTTTTCTAAGTGGTCACTACTGTAGTCATATTTTCAGGAATGGGGAGACCCTTCTTATCCACTCTGCTGAGAAAGGGATCTATGTTATTTTGCAGCTCTTGGGATAATAAAGAGTCAGAGAGGCGTCCTAAATTAACTTACCTCAAAATGAAGTATTTCTCTCTCTCTTTTTTCTATTTCCAGCCTCACTAATTGGAAAAAGAAAATCAAGTGACCCTGGAGAATCAGTCAGGCGTTTTGACAGTACTGAGTTATATTCTGGTTAAGCCTTAATGACCTTTGCTATACTGTACATCTCACTTTATGGGAGATTTCATCAGTGAAATAAGTAATTATAATACTGTTCCTTCTGATTTATGATCTGTTCTTTTTCGCAATACACTATGGTATTTGACTCTGGACCATTTATGTCAGGCTTAGGCCTATCAGAGAGATTTAGGAAGTTTCCTACAACAACTTTCAAATATATTGCTTTATCGGTATGCTCCAGCATCATCTTGAGCTATGAATCCATCTGACTTTTAACACATTTCTCAAAGACGTATTACCTCCATCTATATATCTTCTGTAATATATATTTGTCACATTCCAGAATTTCAGGGCTAAGACAGATCTTCAAAATAGTGGTTCTAAGTGAAAACTGATGTACTGTATAAAGAGAAGTGACTCGTATGCGTCGGGCCTCTTGCCCTCTCTCCAATGTGAGGTGATGCAGGTTTATACCAGCCAACTAAACACAGGAGTCATCATCACTCTGAACTTTTCTTCCATACAATTACCTCATTTTGTTTTTATGGATGGCCCATGTGCACTTAACCAGTCACTCATGACTGGGATTTCTACCATCCCCCCCCCCCAAGACTAATAGAAACAAGAAACAGGATTTACTGTTGCTAACATTGCTAATACTGAAGGTGTTAGATAATAAACTTTGTGTACAGTCAGCTTCTTTAACGATCTTAAAGATCTGTTTTCTCCCTATATTTGATCTTGGGGGGGGGGGGGATTGTTAATTTTAGGCTGAACACAAACATCCAAAGTGGCCTTGCTACTCAAATTGTGAATATAAGAAGCATTTATAGTAACTCCTGCCAAGGAAGTTCCTGTTATCTTGTATCCACCCCAACACACACACACACACACACACACACACAACCATGAAAACTCTTATGCTGCCATAGAAGCTGTTCTTGGCTGTTCTAATCCTGTCTCTTCTTTTTCTTCTCCAGCTGCTTAACCGACCTAACCATACAATGTTGTCTTAGGAAAAGTTGCACAAAGAAGAGGGGGGTCATGTTATTCACAATAGCACCAGAGGGCAGGACAAGAAACAATGGTTGGAAACTGATGAAAGAGAGAAGCAACCTGGAATTAAGGAGAAACTTCCTGATGTTGAGGACAATTAACCAGTGAAACAGCTTGCCTCCAGAAATCGTGGGCGCTCCATCACTGGAGATTTTTAAGAAGAGGCTAGACAGTCATTTGTCTGAGATGGTATAGTCCTCCTGCTTGAGCAGGGGTCTGGACTCCAAGGTCCCTTCCAGTTTTATTCTATTCTAAGCTCTGACAGCACAACTGATTCAGACATTGCATTTGCTTAATATGGCCAAAATCAGGTGCTAAAGCTCCTACCTCAGTTAGGAGGGCTCCATTTTTATTTATTTATTTGTATCCCGCCTTTATTATTTTCAGAAATAAGTCTGTAAACATATCTCATACTCCTCCCTCCTCCTATTTTCTCCACAACAACAACCCTGTGAGGTGAGTTGGGCTGAGAAAGAGTGACTGGTCCAAGGTCACCCAGTTGGCTCTCATTGCTGAGGTGGGCCTTGAACTCTCAGTCTCCTGGTTTCTGGCCTAATGCTTTAACCACTGCACCAAACTATCTATCCTAGATCAAACTTAACCCTTTAACCTTGTGTTTATATCCTGGTCCCCACTAGATCCTTTGTAAATAAACTGAGAATTATTCCATCAGCATTGCCCCCAAATTCACTCTATTAGATTCCTCTTTCCTGAATTATATCTAGCTATTTATTATGGAAGAATTAATGAAGATATTGGTTTTTCTTCCCTTTTCCTTTTCCCATCCTTCTTCCTCTTTTGTATGATGGTTTCAGTTTCAAGTCTGAGGTGAATTAGTCTGAATTCCCAGGAGGAAGGGCTGCTTTCCAGCAGGCATTGGCAGCTGAGTTTGTAAAGTTTTGTCAGCAGAAAGAGGGTTAAAGTGCCTTCTCAGAGTTATCTACAGCAGGGCTTTTCAACCTTTTCACCCATTTTACCACTTTTAGGATATGGCAATATCTGAGTATCACCAGTCGCCTAGTAAGGTGTCAAAAACTTGATGACCAAAAAAAAAAAAACAAAAAAAGGAAAAAAAAGTGATAAAGTACAGGTAGTCCTTGACTTACAACAGTTCGCTTAGTGACTGTTCGAAGTTACAATGGCACTGAAAAAAGTGCCTCCCAAGGCACAGCCGAGCAAGACACCTGCCTGCCCACCCAGCGGTGCTCTTCCTCCTGTCCGAGGTTTTCATTGTTGTGAGCATTTCTGTTGAGAATTGGCAGCAGGGGTAGGGTGGGGGGGTGTTGGTTTTTATTCCCCCCATCTGCTGAATGGTTGCAGCAGGTTTTGGTCACTTCACATGATCCTGGGACACTGTGACCATCATAAATATGAATCAGTTGCCAAGCATCTGAATGTAAATCACAAGACCCTGGAGATGCTGCAACATTCCAGCTGATCGGCACTTCTTCTGGGCTCAGCAGAAGCACCAGGATCAGTGCTGCTTTCCAGCTGAAGCCTGGCGCTTCTGCTGAGCCCTGTCAGCCATCTCTCACTCAGGCTTGTGCGGTGCTGCCACCGGTTCAGCTCATTCCCCTCCCCCGCTACCACTGTTCTAGGATGGTCACATATCACCTGCCAGGTGCCAATGTACCACAGGTGGTACCCGTTCCACTGATTGAAAAGCCCTGATCTACAGTGATGCAAATAGCTGCTCCAGTCTGGCAAGATTCTGTCTATAGGTGTGATGGTCCCATTGGAAGTCGGTATGGAGGAGGAAGATGAACCGGAAATGAGGCCCTTTGAAAGGGATGACATGAATCCCCAGGAGCGTCCTGAGAGCCCAGGGGCTGAGGAAGACACAGTCCCAGGCCAGTTTGGCATTCGAGGGAGTGGTTGATTGGATGGTCAGCTGCCTGCACTAGAAGAAGTGGGGCAGGATCGTCTGCCAATGGTTAGTGTTGATGAGCAGCAATAAACCACTTCTGGTTAGAAATAGCTGCCACCCCCCCTTCCGATCTGTGGGAGAAAAGGGCAGAGTGTAGGGTAACACAGAAGAGGTCAGCAAGGCTATTTGTGAGGAAACAGCCTTTGCCCCTCCTAAAAAACCCCCCACCTGATTTCAGGTGATTTAGCAAGGCACAAGGGAAGATGTGTTTGTCAGGAACAACCATTTGTGTCTGCTACACACTCTCTTTGACTTTGTGAACTTTGGAATTTACATTTTGAATGTCGGATCTTGCTTTGGCTTTGTGGGCTTTGGATCTTGTTTTGTGGACTTCAGACCCTGTTCTTATGGACTTTGGATCCTGCCCTGTAGATTTCAGACCTTGTTCTTGCCTTGTAGATTTTGGACCCTGCTCTGTGAACTTTGAACTTTGCTCTTATTTTGTAGAGATCGGGCTTTGTCCGAGAACTGTGCTCTCACTGATTGTGGGTGGCTGCCCTGTGGGAAATTGGGGCTGAACTTTATTAGTATAACTAATGGGGCTGTCAGGTTGCTTTGGAAAACTGCTTAATTTACGTGTAGTTGTGGATACTATCCTAGCATCTGCTCCTGCCTGCGTGTCAAAACAATAGGTGAAGAACACTAAAGGAAATTATTCAGACACTATTCCATGTGTCGTTCTCAGTTCCTGGAGTCTGACAATATTTGCAGGTAAGGATATTTTTTAAATTTTTTAAAATGATTGATTATACATGTTTGGCTCTGGGAACCCCTTTTTTCTAAAAAACACGGATGATGAGGCTGATATAAATAATCATAACAAACAGGCAAAGCTTGAAGCTTCATATGTGCAGCTGCTTGTAGATCAGCTATTATACCCAATTTCTTTAGAATATAATCATTTTTCAAATATTTATTGGTGCATAATGAAAGCATATTGGACAGGGAGCAGCAGTGTGGTCGCAGGCCCCAATGATGTTAGCATCATAATGTGTAAAGCTGGGGTGAGGTCACGCCACCATTCATTCTGTGATACCACGTGATTGGGGAATCCTAGCGAAGCCCAGCAAGTCCTTTTTGTCGCAGTAAATTGAGAATGCACAGAATGAATTTAGTTTATTAATAATGTTTATTAAGAAGCCATTCCCCTTCCCCAATTCTATGTTTTAAAAAAAAGCTGAAAGGCGCATCTGCAATTCCACATATTCCCAGTACAATATGCTCCATCTGTCTTGTGTAAACACCGAACAAGGACCAATTACACATCCCTGGATTAAGAACTGAAGAGATACTTCAGTGAAAATGAAGAGAAATGTTGAAACAGGAGAAACAAAGAAATATAATGTCCCTCCGCATGCTTACAAAAAAACCTATTGCAGGCCTGGAAGACATCTACAGCTGCTAACAGTCCCAGACAGAGCGAAGAAGCATAATTTCAATTGGAGGCAAACTGGCACTAAAATAATAATAAATTCTATGTGAAAAATGAAAACTGTTCCCCTACTAAATTATTAGTAGACCAATAACCTTTGAGGTGAAATTCAGAAAGCCCACTTTGATTAACTATTTTTTGTACATTAATTTTTCTGCTATAAATGCAGCCTTGAATCCTCATTTCCTGCCTTACTACAAACTCAGAATATATTTTAGAGGACTCTGAAAGCCAGAACAAGGTGAATGTAGAAAGAGGATCACTTGGCAGGATTTGCATGGTATTACCAAGTCAGTATTTATTTATCAGTGCCTTTGAGTCAGTGTTAAAAACAACTGTCTTGACAATCCCTGCAATTTTCTTAGCAAGGTTTTCCAGAAGTGACTTGGCATTGCCTGCTCCCTAGGGCTGAGAGTGAGTGACTGGCCCAAAGCAGGCTAGAATTCATGGTTTCCTTGTTTCGATCTGATGCCTTAACCACTACATCAGTTGGTTCTCTCATAAGTAATTTGGAATCAAACATAAAGAGTTATTTTTGAAACATAACATTCTGAGACATTTCTTTATTCTAGTTAAGGCATTTTAAATATTTAAGACCAAAAAGATACTGCTCTTATAATCATCATATCATCTCCTGTCAACATTACAGTTTTGCAGGGCTATCACTCAACTTTTGCTCCTTGAATGTAAGGACTGTTGTATCTCATACATTCATACGAAATTCCAACCAATTGGACATGCTTTTCACCAGACCCATTTCACTAGTCATGTTTCCCGGTGCAATGAGTTCTGTGTTTCTATAAGTGATGGTAAACTAGTTAAATTACACCATTCTAATCCTCTGAACAGCTTAGCTGACATTTTCTCTGTGCAAAAGATCCGAGATTCAATTCACAGTATTTCCAATAACTTGGCAGTAATTAGTTTTCCCTGAGTGCTGGAAAAAAATGACATGAATGGAGAACTTCTCAAAGTTTAGAAAGGCTAATTTTATTGCTTTTTTCTCATATTGTAATCAGTTCTGGTTTTGTAATACCAGATCAAGATGAGATGTGCTTTGTTAGTTTGTGGCTCACTATAGATTGTGTTCAGTTGTGTGCTGTATGAAGAACTCAGGGATACAGTATAGTTTCAATTAGTGCATTGTACAAACCCAGTCAAAGAGAAAGAATTTTGTGTACCATGAAAAGTAATTGCTCATGTCAAAAACCACTTCCTCTTCTGGAAAGCTTTACTTCTGGAAAATTGCTGGACCACCCCAGAATGGCCAGTCTGGTGTTGTCTTCAGGAAGAACAGAATGTTCTGGAGTTCCTCTCAATGTTTCGTCTCCAGAGACAAAACATTTTGCGTTTGCTTCTCCCACAACTTCTCATTTCATCACATCAGTGAAGAAGAAAAATGTCAGATAGATAGATAAAAGGAAGGGACTCTTGAGGACATACACACAACACAGACACACACACACACAAAACAAAACAAATCTGATGTGATGGAAAGAGAACATGCCTCTGCTTGTGAAGAAAAGATGTGGGTGAAATAAAGGATTATTTATTAGGCTCTTGAGGTTTTGTTTTTGCTTTGCAAAGGCAATTTGTCTAAAGACAGTGCCAATTAACAAATAGATAAATAACACATTAAAGCATTAAGTGCTTCCTTTACTCTGTTCATTTGGAACTAGGCTTTTCTTTATATTTCATACATCATTTATACTCTTACAGAACTATATCTTTTCCTGAGAACAAAGGGAACAGAAAGATGATTCTTTCATCATTGTTTGGAAAGCTAGATTGGGGACCTAGATTTGCCTGCAGCTATAAAAACACTCTAGGCTCTCCACCAACTTCATAGGAATTGAGACTGATGCCCAGATAACATTACATCCCATAGACTGAGAAGCATATTATGTGATCAGTCCCCACTGATTCTTTCTGCTTTTGATTTACATTCACAAAGCCCAAGAATGTCAGCCATGAACATCTTCTAAACTAACCCTCCTGCATTCCAGCATTCACAATGATGTCTGCCAAGTTTTCCAATCACCTTGAGGATGCATTTGAAATATTATAGTTCACACTTCTGTGCTTGTCAGTTAAATAGTAGGCCTGTAAAGATCCCACAGCAGTTAATTTCATTTCCTGGCTCACTTCCTCAGAGTTGTATAACAACAATTGCAGTGTCTTCACTGGTTCACAGCTGCTAAGTAGCATTTTCCATTCCAGTTCTGCATCCCAACTGATGCTTTATGGATCCTCACTGACCTGCTCTAAGGTTAGTTTTCCCCTGAGATGGGAAATAAATGAAAATGCAGAGCCTGAGCTCTGAAATATCACCTTAAAAAAGAAAGAATATTTTACAAATTTATAACACTGCAGAAACAAAGAAGAAATAGAAAAAGACCACAAAACGGTAAAAGAAACAGTGAATAATAAAAAAAGTAAGAAAGATATTTACAGGGGTGACCTGCAGTCTTTGCAACATTACAAACGTAGTAATTACCATCCACATTCTGCCATTGTTTCCTTCTTCCCGTAAACAAACTTTTTAAATCAGTTCCCTAAATCAGCAATTCATTTGTATCCACTTTCAGCAAAATAGTCTTATAAAGAATTTTTTTTATCAAAGTAATTGTAGTTCCCTCTTTGATCAAACAAGTCCATTTAGCCATTTCTGCAATCAAAACAGCCAAATATCATCTTTAAAAAGAGGAGAATCTACAAAACCTGGCCCAAATTTTAGCACCATCCATACACAATCCTGTCCAGTTTGCATCTCCCAGCCCCTAAAAAGATTAAGCACAAACTATATTACCAAAAGTTTGCCTGCTGCTGCTTCAGTATTGCTGGGCCGAGCTGGCCTAGACATACTTGTGCTGTGCAGAGCCGGGAAAAGGCCCAGCAGGAGTGAAGCAGAGGCCTAGATGGTCCAGCAGAGCTGGTCTTTGCATAGGCCCTGGAGACCAGAAGCTGCCCAGCAGGAGAGCTGTATGTGGAGCTGTGACTGAGGCCTGTCAGAGAGACCTGAGGTAGACCCTGGAGGATCCAGGTGTGTACCAACAGGTTCTAGTGGCATGGTCCTGGGGCAGAGGGCTGCCAGTTGTGGGGTGTCCTGGGAGAGATCAAGACAAGTGTGTAGTCTTGGGGAAGGATTTCTCTAGAAATTTCTCACAGGGGGCCTTGTAGGCCCAATTAATTCGCAGGCATGTAGAGTCACCATAGTTAACCAGAACAGGCCAGGCCTAGATCCTCAAAAGAGAGCTTGGGAAGGGAATTATGTCATGAAAGAGGAAGGCTACCAATTTTCCTGTCATTTTCCTGCCACTGGCCCTGGATGCAAGATTTGGGGATGTTGCGTGGCAAGCGTTCCTGCCAGTGGGCCACCATCTGCTGCATAGCTCCAGAAGAGCATGCTTCTGCAATGTTTTTCTAGATTAAAGAATCAACTCAAATGTTACGTTGGACATGCCACCACCTTACAAAATGTCTCCCTGTACTTTTGAAAGTCCCACAGTGTGTGCAAAGCTGCTCATGTCCCTGTAGCAGAAAAGTGGTGGTGTTCCATTTTCGATCCTAATAATCTAGGATCTGTGGGAGAAAAATCTGCAACTTGCAAGTTTTCTCTTCCTTCTCAAGATGAGATTCATCTCATCTGCAAGCAAGACACTAGAGGACTTTGGTTTCCAAGACATATTATGGGTTTGCAAAGCCAGGTTAAGCACTCATGGATATGTTTGGTAACATTCTATGGGCAAGACCCCAATACAACAGGAAACAATATATTCACTCTGTGAGGAATCTGGGCAGTTTCTAAAGATGATAAATTAAAAAAATGCAAGATTTCAAATATGATTGGTTATAAATTATAAAAAGACAAAATTTTAAAATAGACACAAATTGCTAAGCTTTGCCTGCTAAATGTATCTGCCACAGCTTCAGCTAGGTGTGACCAGTTTTGTGGAGTCTGCAAATATAGTATAAATATTATAAATATTTAGGTCTTTGGATGTTCGGGTTTTCTCCCACGTAAAATTGGAAGTGTCTTGGCGACGTTTCGACGAAGTCCCATTATAAATATTATATATATAATACATATGTAATATATATATTATATGTATTACATATTACATATAAATATATATTATATTTAATATATATATAATACATATGTGATATAATACATATGTAATATAAATATAATATATATTTATATTATAACACAAATTTATTTATGTTATTTATATTATAACACAAATATAATATAAAACTTCTTCCACAAACTTCAACTTTTTTTGTTTGTAGGTCCAGAGGATGTTTCTCCAGACTCTGTAGGTGTTCCGATGGCTCTTTCTCCTTGTTCCAATGGGGTCCCAATAGTTGTCTTGTTCCTGCTGTTCCTGGCTTCCACTGTTTTGTGTGACTGCTTAACTCCAACCTTACCCCCCAGTTCTAGATTAAGAGGTTCAGAAGACCTAAAAGATAGCTATCCTACTGGAACTGTTTTGCGATTAGTGTGCATCCCAGGTCATGAATTTATACCTGGGAGTCGTCCTCTTATGACATGCTCTCCAGATGGAACGTGGACAAAGATTCCAGAATTATGTCAAGGAAAGCGATGTCCGGTTCCACATTTAGAAAATGGAAGAATAGTAACTTCAGATGATCTTCGGCTTGGTGAAACAGTAACCCTGGCTTGTGACGTTGGATTCAGAATGATAGGTGAAAGTACCCTTCGATGTGTTCTAAGAGGAGGCGAAGTTAGGTGGCACAGAGACATTCCATACTGTGACCGGATTCCTTGTGTTCGCCCTCCTGCAATTTCCAATGGAAGATATGAAGCTGATCCTAGAGATGAATATTCTGTGGGCATGATTGTTGTATACCGGTGTGATGCCGATTTCTCCCTTATTGGACATTCAACAATTAACTGTGTAGTTGCAGCTGATGGTAAGAATGGAGAGTGGAGTTCACCTCCACCCGAATGTAAAAAAGTCAATTGTGCGAGACCAAGCATCCGAAACGGGAGATTGGCAACTTTATATAGACCTACATATACATATGGTGATAGTGTATCATTTGAATGCAATCCTGGCTATACTTTGGTAGGGGCCACTGTGGTTAAATGTGCTGCTGATAATACATGGAAACCTCCTCTTCCACGTTGTGACAAGGGTGTAGCAACTACCAAACCAACCAGACCACCTCCACCAGTTCCTCCTGTCCCTCCTCCTGTCCCTCATCCACCCCCTGGCCCCCCCACAATTCTCCCTACCCTTGTTCCTCCAAAAGAAGATGAGACTACTTTTATTCCAATGTACCCAACCCAAAGTGCAACAATTCCTACACCTGAATCAGGATCTGAATCAGGCAAAATTGTTGGAATTGTTTTTGGAATTATTTTTGCCCTTATAGTTCTGGCTGCTTTGATATTTGCAGCTGTGAAATGGTGGAGCCAGTGGAAAGCTAATGCTCCTGAAAATAGTCAGATAGCTTCAGAGAAAGAAAAAACAACGGGTGATCAGAGACCACAAAAACTTGGAAGTAAAACTTCAGGAAACATTCAGCGTTTTTCTTCTTTAGAATAGAAAACGGAGACTCTGTGAAGTTTGGGTCCAAAGTTTAAGTTAATTTTCATAGTTCTACGGTTTTGCAATGCATGAAGCAGCTAGTTCCTGAAATAGTTCATATTCAGTTTCCAACAAATGCTCCTTTTGCATATGCTGCTTTTCTATTCTAGTACTCTGTACTTATACCCTTTCCAGATATCTCTTAGAGCAGGGGTCCCCAACCTTGGTCACCTTATGACTTGTGGACTTCAACTCCCAGAATTTCTCAGGCAGCATTGCTGGATGAGGAATTCTGGGAGTTGAAGTCCATAAATCATAACGTGGCCAAGGTTGGGGACCTCTCTCTTAGAGCACGGGTATCAAATTCAATCGCCTCATGTGATGTATTGTGACGTGTCATGATGTTTTTTGCCTTTGCGGAGCTGGAGTGCGTGTGGCCTGTGCGTGACTCATCTGGCCTGTGGGCTGCCAGTTTGACACCCCTGCCTTAGAGGGTCTCTTTCTGTATGTCTGAGATACAGAATCTGAGGGAGCTGCCCAGGCATCTGCTTCAGGGATGATGCCTTAGAGATACTAGAATGAAAGCATTCTGCAAGTTCTCTTAAATCTGTTCTTAAATCTGTTTCTGAATTCGTGTGACATCAGAACAAGAGTCACAAGCGTCATGTTTGCTTCTGAGGCTTTAAAATTGTGCTAAAACTGTGCCTCATATAAATTGTGATCTGGTATACCTTTTAGCAGTCAGTGTAAACTTTGTAAATTGGACCAAATAAATTAAGCAAAACTTTTAGGAGACTTATTGTATAATTGATATCACTAAATTCACTGTGACCAGATACCACTGTGCTTTGGTTAAATGGAGTCCTGCCTGTAATATTCAACATATGTGTCAGGCAATAGATGATAAGATGCCAGAATAAATGAAAAAGTGCTCTTGAGTAAATAATAATTGCTAAATTTGGTGTATCTTTCTCATCTCTTATATTTTGGAAGAAATCTATGCCTACTTATTATAATCTAACGGTGAATAAAATTTCTTATAATTTCTTGACAAGCCTTCTAGTAAATAATTTATGATGTAGTTGTTCCACTGGTTCAAGTATCTAAATGTTCTTCATGTTTCAATCCAAACCCGGACATACAATTGTTGTATAACATAATAGCTATCTAAAAAATGCTGATCAAGCTTTTCAGGGCTCAATTCATATAAAAAAATTGAAAGTTTATGTCCTCTTGATATAAATCAAGTGAACTAGATTATGACTGTTAAACTCACTGTAAAATTCCTCACCAACGAGCAGTAAAATAGTAAGGGTGATTTCTAAATCCTTGGCTGGGCCATTGGGATATCTGAATTAATGGTAAGTGGGTTTTTTTCTTTTTCTTTCATGCATGTTCGGCTACGGGTTTTGGTTTTCTTTTGAAAAAGGAAATAAATGCAATTATTTATCCATCTCGAGTTTGAACTTGCCTGAAAAACAATACATGTTTTTCTTTGACTTTTCATTTCTCTGTCAAGTTGGGTAGACTTAACCGATGAAGTGCAACTTGCAATTAGACAGCTGGTGTACTGTAAGGGTGCTTTTCATAAGGAATTCTGACTGTTTCTGTTACCTTGGGCCCCCATCTGGTGTGTGCACATGTCACCACTTTTCTTTGCTGGGCACAGGGGGAAAGGTTGCAATTTCGAAGGGAGGTTGCACAGAAATTATAACAGAGCTGTTGTTTTCAAGACCAAGAGCTTTGTAAAAGTGGAGGACAGAATATATTCATATACATGCACACTCACGCACAAGCACACAAGCCTTTCCTGCACTTGTCCACACTCAATGTTATCGCTGGATATTATAATTCTTTGCATGAAAAAACAATACAGCCTTGTTTTTGTGTGTTTATTAAACAAACAGAAGAATAGATCCATATGTGTCCCTTCCAGAGAACACTTCTGCTGCAAAGAAATATGTGGTAACTAGCTAAGTCCAATTTTTGTTTGGCTAAGAGTGTGCCCAGTTCTAGTGAAACTGCTGCGTCATGTACTGTTGTGGTTACATGATTGCATGTAGAGTCGTTAGTTTAGTGATATGTTATGTTTTAAAACAGGTATAGGCAAACACATGTGGCTATCTAGCATTCTGTATGCAGTCTCTGTAGCCTGCCAAACCTTTTAGATCAGGTTTTTTCTGCTCTTCTTTTTAACACTTGCAGAGAAATACTTCCTTAAGGCTTTGTTTTGACCTTCAGGGAAAAAAAGAAAGCAAGAGAGGACATTCAGCCACCGTTAAGTGCCAGTAAATCAGTCCCACAGAAATAGAACCAAAAGGCTATTAATTCTACAGACTCAATGCCACAAAATAATGTATCTTATAGGAGAGGAGATGACTTTAGAAGTATGATCTTAATTCTTCTTATCTAAGGAACCAATTCAAGGCTAAAACTTCTCAACAGCATGCAGTATGAATGAAATGGATGGATCTCAGCCTTTGACAGTATCCTCTAAAGTTTCTGGATGGTGGTGTTTTATTTATGATTCTGATTCTGATCCCCAGTACTTCTCTGCTCTTTAGCCCCCTATTCCCTGAGTGGATTATAGGTGGTCCTCAACTTACAACAGTTCATTTAATGATCGTTCAAAGTTACAAAGGCACTGAAAAAAATGACTTATGACTATATCTATCTATCTATCTATCTATCTATCTATCTATCTATCTATCTATCTATCTATCTATCTATCTATCTATCTACCTACCTACATACACACACACACACACATACATACATACATACATACATACATACATAATACATGCATACATATACACCAAGTTCCTGTAAATGTTCACACTGAGTGGATACTAGGGATAAAGCTAGTTAGGAAATGTAACATTAGAGTTCAGTCTAGTCATTATGGCCCCACACCTGGGGAACCAAAGTGATAGCTCTCCAGCTATTCCAGTATCCATCAACTCCAGCCAGCATTGGCAGTGATCAAGATCCATGGGAGTTGTAATCAAATAGCTTCTGGAAAGGTACAGATCCCCATCTTTAACATAAGATTTCAAATGTGTTCAGAGCAGAGTGAACATGCATTTTCTGTTTTGCAGCCAAATGCTGTACATATGCAACTATGTGTATTAAAACAGAAACCATTATCTACATTTTACGGTATTTTTTTTTTCTTTAGTTGAATTTCAGAAAATACATGTCCGTTTTATTTTTATGGAAACTTTTCCGGGCATTTCAGTTAGGATACAAAGGACCAGGTCACATGGTGGCATGTATACTATATGTCAGGTAATGAATCATCACAGATCAATCATGTCATTTACCTTTCTATTAAAAAATGATGATACATTGCTGTTTCAAAATATTACCATGTCACATTCTTGAACTCTGCTGTCATTTTTTTCCCCTCAATATTTTACATAAACAATGAAAGGATTGAAAACTCAGGAAACATTTTGCAATAGTTGCATGGATTGTGAATTGTTTTCTGTCTTACTCTCCTTAGGGAAACCAACACAGCATTTTATGGAATAAAACACAAGACAGATTGATACTAATGTCTGAACATTCATACTACTGCTCCTGTTGTCTCTTCTTAACATAATTAAGGATAGAAGCTTTCTGTGGGTCTGATAAGCCTAAAGTTTAACTGGTTTTTGATTTATTATGGCGCTGCAGTATCATTTTTGTTTTCCTTGCAAATACATAATGAAAAAGATTCTAACGGTCCTGGGATTCTTTTGACAACCTTCAATTACTCATGTAATTAAAATACTCCAACACAAAAGACAGTGACATAATATTAAATATGTTACTCAGCTGTGTTCGCCATTGTACAATGGAAAATATAGATAATGCTTTTAAAACCGGGATAATTTGCTTCACTAATAGACATTCATTCTTCGTTTTTAAGAGAAATTTATTCTTTGGCTCTCTGATTTATTTTTCTAAACCAAGTTAGAGAAACAAAATACTATGCACACTCTCCAAATATAAGAACCAAAAAAAATGCCAATTAAGGACTCCTTCATCTTGCTTAATTCCTGAAAGTAATATCCTAGTAGTCAGACTAGCCTGGAAAAAAAACAACAGCCCATCTTATTAAAGGAAAAGAAGAGCATTACTGCTTGCCAATAAAATCACATTTACTGAAAGCCCTGGTGGCACAGTGGTTAGAATGCAGTATTGCAGGCTAACTCTGCCCACAGTCAGCAGTTTGATCCTGACCGACTCAAGGTTGATTCAGCTTTCCATACTTCCGAGTTTATTAAAATGATGACTCAGATTGTTGGGGGCAATATGTTGAACATTGTAAACCACTATGAAGCAGTATATAAGTCTAAGTGCTATTGCTACTGAAATCTCCTAGTATTACCCCTAGCTAAGAGAATGGAGTGAAACTGTCTCAGAAGAGCAGGCAACAAAACTCATGCACCATATGCTTCACTCACATTATTACAGAACAGAGAATAAGAAGAGAGATTTTTACTCTATTTTGCATAGGCCAAACTGCATTTAAAGTATTGTGTCGAGTTCTTGGCGGCAAATATTAAGACAAACATTGACAAACAGAAACAGATCCAGAGGAAGGTAAGCAGAATGATCAGAGGTTTTTAAAAACCAAACCCCATAAAGTGCCTTATGGAGATGAGCAAGCACTGCCTGCAAAAGAAAAGATTCAGAAAGGACAGTACATGGTAACAGTTGTAAAGGGTACCAAAGATGGATTGGACTGTAGCTGGACCGACTAAAAAAGGGCAGACAAGGTCTATCTTCAGGGGCACCATGGTAACCTTTAAGAGCTATGAGGCTAGATATCATCTGGAAATATGGAGCTAGGATTTCAGCCCTTTTTGATAAAAACAAAAAATATTAATTAAGCCTTAATGTATCTGAACAATTTGCCCTTTCCATCGACTCGCACAAAAAAAGACCCACCAAAACTGATACTGTCAAAAAAACTAATTTATGGGCCCATAGAAAAGGAGCTGGGCATTTGCAGCCCTTGGGCAGAAGGTTGACACCCCATATCCTCACTTTATCAAAGGCACTAACACAATGTCTCCTGAGAAATCTTTTTTTCTCCATAGAGATCTGTAGCTTGCTATGCCATTCATTTGCACACATCTGTTCTTACTATCCTTGGGATGATAAATCTTGACTTCTTTTTCTTCGTCAACCTCAGAATGATGACATACTCTGCCTGTGATCTGTTGCCATGGTGAATGAAAGATAAAACATAAAATCTTTACTGAGATTTTCAACTCCACCAGAAACACAATAAATATAATTTGGGATGCTGTGACGTTGGGATGACTACCAAATTTCTATTAGAATAAGCTAGCACAGTTTTTTAAAACTCCTAATGTTAGGAAGAAGTGAAATGAACTATCCTGTTGTGCTTTGGAATTGATTCTTCTAAAAATGGCTTGGTTTCATTTATAAATGTACAACTCAGTTTGGTCTAGTGGTTAAGGCACCAGGCTAGAAAACCGGAAGTCTTGAGTTCTAGTTCTGCGTTAGGCATGAAAGCCAGCTGGGTGACTTTGGGTTAATTACTCTGCCTCACTCCAACCCACCTCACAGGGTTGTTGTTGTGGAGAAAATAGGAGGAGGAAGGAGTATTGTCTATAGGTTTGCAACTTGAGTTATTTATAAAAATAATAATGGTGAGAAAGAGAGAGAGATGATAGATTAGATGGAAAGAAAGAAAGAGAAAGGAAGGAAGAAAGGAAGAAAGAAAGAAAGAAAGAAAGAAAGAAAGAAAGAAAGAAAGAAAGAAAGAAAGAAAGAAAGAAAGAAAGAAAGAAAGAAAAAGAAATGATAGTAGTGACCAAAATTTTGGGAACAATCTTCTCATCAACTTTAAAAATGAGTTTTTAATCTGCTCTATTCCTATTCCTAATGTTTCCAACTGGTTGCAGGAAAGGCACGGATGTGGGAGGAATAAGAAAGGGACATGAGCATTTAAAATTTGATCACATACATTTCAGGCCTGTAGAGTAGCAGCAAT